AAAAAAAAAAAAAAAAAGTTGCTTTATGAAATTTGTACTTAAAGTTTTGAAGTAATATTGAAAATATGGCATCCTGAAAGTACTGTGTAGAGATTAATAGCTCAGTCATTTCAAGGTTGTTTACAGAACTTCTTCCTAAAAGTTAAAGGAAATATTTAGTCACAAAAGCAAATTTTATTTCCATGCATACCTTTCTCCATGCTTCTGTGAGAAACTATGCATTTTATAAGAATGTACCATTTTCGGAATCTTTTAGTAGAAGTAAAATTACCCCCATCCTCTGCATAAAGTGAAATAACTGCATTAAAGCCAATCCTATTAATTTGCAGCAACCCTTGTAAGCAATTTAGATGTGTTCAAAAACAAACATGTTGCCACAATTTCATTTATATGTTGCATTAAATGAGTTTAAAATTAACAAAATAGAAGAATTATAATTTGCAGAAACTAGATTTTTTTGATATCTAATACTAATTGATAGCATAAAATGGAACAAGAGAAATGTATAATTCACATATATTCTTCAGGACATTTATCAGGAAAGGATTTTTGTTAGTTACCTATTGAGATACAATAAACAATTATAGTACATATTATATTGTGATTTTTTTTTGGGTCCAGTCGTGGGGCCTGAGTGCTGTCCCTCAGCTCTTCAGCTCAAGGCTAGCACTCTACCACTTGAGCCACAGTGCCACTTCCGGCTTTTTTCTTTTTGCTTATGTGGTGCTGAGGAATCGAACCCAGGGCCTCAGGCATGCAAGGCAAGCGCTCTACCACTGAGCCAACTTCCCAGCCCTATATTGTGATTTTTGTTATGGAATATTAATTTTATTTGTAAAGAAAATGTTTATGTCCCTAGAAAATCTTTTTTATTTTTTTGGTTAATCATGGTGCTTGAACTCCGGGCCTGGGCGCTGTCCCTCAGCTCTTCAGCTCAATACTAGTGCTGTACCACTTGAGCCACCGCACTACTTCTGGTTTTCTGTATTGTTTATTGAAGATAAGAGTCTCATGGCCTTTCCTGCCTGGGCTGGCTTTGAACCACGATCCTCAGATCTCAGCCTCCTGAATAGCTAGGATTACAGGCGTGAGCCACCATGTCTAATGTCCCTAGAAAACCTTTTGTGTATCAGTTAAGACAAATTGATAACAAAGAAATAGTTGGTTATTTAATAAGTTATTATGGCATTTGTATCTTATGTAAGCACTTATTTAGACATCTAAATTTTTAATACTTTATTGCAATTTAAGAAAACCTAAAAATTATAAGACGATTAGTTCAAGTCCTTCATATTTCTTAAGATATATAAATTTATAAAATTAGAATTAAATTTTTTGAGTGTTTCTACTTCATCATATCCAGTTCTTTTTAATTGACTGATTGGTTGGTTGGTTGGTTGGTTGATTGCTTGGTTACTTGGTTGTCAATACTGGGAATTGAACCTAGAGGTATCAGTATCAACTTAAAAAACTGGGTAAAAAATGGAAAGACTTGGAAAAAATCATATTAAGTGAAGTAAGCCAGACCCAAAGAAACATAGGTCCCATGGCTTCCCTTATCTGCAATAATTAGTATACATCTAGGATAATCATCAGATGAGCAGAATAGCTCAATAGCTACATACATATAACCATATAAGATGATGCTAAGTGAAATGTATACAAGAGGGTTTTTTTGTTATTTTTAAATGTACTGTGTGATTTCTTTGTTTCTGTTGTATGTTCTTCCCCCTGTTGTCACTGTATTTAAGCTTGGTATTGTATATACGTTTATTTGAATTAGGGAAGGGAAAGGGAACAACAGAATGGTGAGACAAAGGAAAAGAGGGAACTAATGCAACAGCAATATTCACAAGGCACTATGTTGGAAATGATCTGTACTACTTGGTGGAGGAGGAAGGAAAGTAGTAGAAAACTGAGGGAAGGAGTAACAAGGTTGACAAGAAATGTACTCGTTACCTTACTTATGTAACTGTAACCCTCTGTGCATCATCTTGACAATAAAAAAAACTGGGCAAAGAAGTCAGGATATCAGGATATTATTTCCTAATTTAGTTATGCTGGGGTTCTCTTTAAATTATCTCCATTCTGACAGCTTTAGTTTCTGTTATTTATTTCTGTTGCAACAATTGAAGGAATTTAATCTAGCATGTCTGCTGCCCTCTGAGGTATAAAGCTTTTTAAAATGACATTCCAGTATTACAGATTCTACTTTCACTAGCACTTTTAAAGACCCTCACCTCTCATCCCTGACTCATTTACTTGCAAGCTGAATGCTTCCAGTAGTGTTAAGTACAATGCTAATTCCTTAGACTGGCTTTCTAAGCCAAAGCAGTTTCCCTAACATAGCGAAGATATGGAACCAACCCAGACAACCCTCAAGAGATGAATGGATTAAGAAAATATGAAACACACACACACACAATGGAATTCTATAGTTCCATCATAAAGAATGGCATTGCCCATTCATAAGGAAATGGAAAAAACTCGGGGGAAAAATCGTATTGAGTGAAGTAAGCCAGACCCAAAGAAACAAAGGCTCCATGGTTTCCCTCATTTGTAATAATTAGTAAATGTCTAGGTTAGTCCTAGCAGAGGATCACAATAGCTCAATAGCTATGACTATATAGAATGATGCTAATCTAAATGAACTCCAAGAAATGGAAACAAGAAGGTTTTTTAATGTACTGTATTAGTTCTTTTTTTCTTTTTCCCCGCTTTGGTTTATCCCCTGTTGTCACTGTTTTTAATTTTGGTACCCTGTAATTTGTATATATGTTTATCTGATTTAGGGAAGGGAAATAACAAAATGATGAGACAAAGGACAAAGGATGAACCAATGCCACAGAAATACAAGATATACTATTGGAAATGACCATTACAACTTGGGGGAGGGGGAAGGAAAATATGAGAGGGGAATTGGGATAAAACAAGGGAGTGGGTAACACTGTTCAACAAGAAATGTGTTCATTACCTTACTTATGTAACTTTAACCCCTCTGCAGTCACCTTTATAATAAAATAAAAGTACAAAAATAAAACCCAAACCAATTCTCTATGTGAACAGGAAAGATCTGTTAATAAACACAGAAACACTTCTAGTGTTCACTCTTATCCCACCACTTGTCAAAATTCAAAAGCACTCCCAGAAAACATTCCACTAGTAATTCAGAGTCTGGAGGTAGGAAAAATGACTATAATAAATTGAGACATAGTGATAATGGGTGTCCAGATAATACCACTTTGGGATAATTTTAAAATAAAGAAAAGACCTTCTAAGCAACCTGTTTTTTCCTACTTTCCCTGTGATAAAATAGAAAGTAATTTCTTAAATAGGAATAGAAGCAGCTGCTTATTTTCCATCACAAGGTTATTACAGCATGGGATTGATTTTAAATAAGAAATATGTAATACTGTTAAACCTCCCCAGGGATTTGTTACACATAAAAGAGTTTTCTGATTTAATTCCTCTTAGTTTTGTAGTAGAGTGCAATTGCCAAGATGCAACTTCACAGTTCTTTCCTGGATTGGCACAATCTGTTGCCTTTGAGGACTGGTCATCAGATGTCCATCTCCGGTTTCTTTTAATCCTTTGCCTCCCTTTCTGGCATTTAAATTAAAGCTTTGGCTTTTGCTGGAATTTCAATCCCATTCTTACAGAACCTTTATACCTGTCCTTATCACAGTGAAGCCAAAGGCTATTTTTTTCTGATAACTGTTAAACTTCACATTTACTTTCAGAGCCTTTCCTTTCTCAGAGATCCTGGAAGTCTGTGAATGCTGTTCTTGTCTGCCATTTAAAAATATCAAAAGAATACTGAAGATCCCAACATCTTATTTCTTGGCTCTCTTGAAGAACTATAATGGAGCTCTCCTATAATGGAGCTTCGGTCTAACCATTCTAAGTCCTTCAGCAGCTTCCAGATGTTCAGCTACCTGGATCACTTTGGGAAACAAGCAGTCTGAATACATACCCTAGTAATGCTTTTGTTGTTGCTGTTGTAGTTTGTAAGAGAATGTTTTCTGTATGAATTTCATGTGATGGTCATAGGACTAAATCTGAAGGTCTACTGACTTCTCTCTTCAATGCCCTGTGTTTCCTTCAAGTATATATGCAAATATATTATATCATATAAACACACTTTGAAGCTGGGCACTAGTGATTTATGATTCATCCTAGCTGCTCACAAGCTGAGATCAGTGGATCACCGTTCAAAGCCAGCCCAGGTAGACAAATCTACGAGACTCCAATTAACCAGTAAAAAGGCCAGAAGTGAAGGAGATATGGATCAAGTGGTAGAGTGAAAGTCATGAGCAAAAAGTCAAGCAAGAGTATGGGGTTTGAGCTCAAGACCAGCACCAGAAAAAAAAGGGGGGGAGATTAACAAATCATTAAGAAAGTATGAATAGAAACAGTTCTACTGAGATGTATTTTTCCTATCCTAGCTTGGTATGTAATCCTACCCTGCTCAAAGGCAGAGATAGAAAGATCAAGTCGCAATGTTAGTTCAGGCCTTGGAGTGATAATCTATCTGAAAATCTAACCACTAATGTGGCTCAAGTAGTAGAACATTTAAGGAGGCCTGAGATCAAAGGGAAAGGAAAAGAGAAAGAGAAGGAATTTTTTTCCTGCCTCACTTTTTCCCCCAGAATTGTCACTTTTCACCCACTTTCCTGCATTATTAAGATTGTC